AAGAGTAGACTCTCCCAACTCTCGGCCGTACCAGGGCATTTGGAGGTGCTTTACTGCAAACATGTGCATTGATGGCAACCAGAATAGAAAAGATGTAGAACGAAACAAATCCAATGAAATGTGTTAAAAATATTTTCATGTATTTCTGAATATATCTATAGTTGGTTTGTGTCAATTTTAAGAGGGAGGCGAGAAGAAAAATGAAGATTAAACGAAAGTTTTAAAAATATACAATAACAGAATTATTACATTCATTTATTTTAAAAACGAAACTATATATTTAGAATTAATAAAGTTAAAAACTATAAACATTTTTAAAGAGACTTGAAAAGAGGTTATCAGTAGAATTCAGAACATGTGTTACGACATAGTAGCTAAGTAGATAACGCATTTTGAGTTTGAAGGGAAAAATAGTAGGTTCGAGTTCCGATGTGAACATCAACACAGTGATAGAGGTACGTTCAGCTAAGGAATCTTAAACAGAACAAAGGACGCGACCTGCATTTCATTGCTAACCACTACCACTAATTCTCTTTGAAAATGCTTGCAATTTAGAAGCCATATGGAAGCAATCTGTACATGATACACGTACTCCAAAATAAACTGATCGATTGCAGTTTTTAACATCAACGAGATCTAATACAACCATTACAAATGAGTTAATAAACTCGTTTCAAGTCCAATACATTTTCGTCACTTTAATCTAAATGCTGCAAAGATAGAACTTAATTAGTGATAAAAAAAACATGAAATGACGTGGTTCGTCATCTAATATAGTAAGTACTATGCTTCAATTAGTCTCAGGATGTCATTTAAATATTCAATAGTCAACTAATAAAACAACGACTATCAAAATGATTACAGAAATACTTTGTTGATAAATTTCAGTTTGTACCATTACCTCTCGTTATCTGCTTAAAATAAATCAGCAATATAAACTAATAACTATGAGCAAATGAGTGCGGTGATACTCCAGTTTGTAAAATAATATGTGGATCACTTAAAGTTGATACTGAGTTTAGAAATTTAAGCAAATTGAATGATTATCAACCTCCAACTGCAAAGTTTATTCTTTATATAATAGTTGGTATAAAAGTGCATAGGATGGGAATTCTACAGAAAACCACTTACTAATTGGTTATATTATTATTCTTGTTTTGTACATCCGAACTTTTGCCCTCTTAATCAAATACATTGTTTATTTTTACTGATCATTTGTACTTTGAGTACGCGTAACGTTTGTTGTATTTTGCAAATTTTTCTGAACATTTGTATGCGTATATTCAATTTCCTTGGGCTAATTTTTCTTGACTTTTCCCAATAAATCTTTCATAAAATATTGGATTAGATGGAGTTAAGGGAAAAAAACTATTCGTTAATAATCAGATCTTCATAAATAAGCCATCTAATCAATTTACATCTAGCAATTATATTAAACCATGTCTCTTTGATTAGATTTTAGAATAACCAGTTTGTTTGACCCAGAATAAACCTTACAGATTAATTACAGAAAAACCCATTCAGTTAATTAGACTCTGAATTTCAATGACACATTCTCGTAGTATTCGAGATCGTAATTAATTGTATCGATTTTAAAATAAAGACATGATTTTTAGTTAGGGAATAGACAGGTTATTTTCTAAATAGTAACGGCAAAAACAAGTAGAGAATTCGGAACTAAACAATGATTCAAACCCAGTTTGTAAAATACCTAGATTATCTAGACATCCAACACAAATAGAAGAGGTTCTTAATAATTCTAAAACCAGAAAGTCTCATGAAATCTGTATGAAAAAAACAGTTGAGCTATATCATTAGGCACTAAATGCATAATTCTCAATATAAAACCTTCGTAATTATATGCATTTTTGTATAATAACCAGTTCCGACAAACGTACTATGAAAATCGGTTTCTAAGAAACAGATGTTGTTCAATATTTCATTGTTCGATTTGATTACATTTTAGTTTAAGTGGTAAGACCTGAAAAATAACCGTCTTTCACGTCTTTACAAGAAGTCGATTCCATGATTTTTTTTTAGTAAAGTTGTCTAGTGAGCCTCCCAATATGACAACTAGTGAAGATCCACGCCAAACAATAAATACACTGAAGCAAACATTATGTTTATATCCTTGGGTACTCTCTTGTGTAGAACGTTATTAGTTATATCTCCATTTAACTGTAAAATATACGTGAAAACATGTCAGCAGACACTGGTAATAATAATAACCTCATTTGTCCACCGTTCTTTATGTGAGGGCAAGCTTTTTTGTGACATAACAGGTTGATTTTATGACTATGACGTTCTCGATTATTTCCATTTAAGGAATGACTTGAATAGGTGGCTAGTACCTTTCAACATATACTAAGGATTTGAATGAGAAGTCTATCATTAAAAATTTAGCCAAGCATGAATTAGAAGGTTCAGTAGGTTATGATTAGTAAAGCAATACTAATTCTAATTACGATACTGTGTAACTCAAATTTAGTTGTGACGAGAAAATTGTAATTTCACAAATCCTGTTATTTACTAACAAACACAAAAAAGTTAGAGTTAGTTGTCCAATTGAACACAAGCATTTCCAATTATTTATTAATAGTTGTTCATCTCAACGGTAAAATCGAAGAGACACCAAAAAAGAAGTACACACGCACAAAATAACATTTTAACAAATTAATAGATTACCACAAGCCAATAGTGAATAAATCACATTTACAACACATGAAAACAAACAAAATAAATTCCATAACACATAAATAAGTTAACAAAATTATATTTAACACAAAATAAACATTATTTCACAAATTTTCAGGATGTTGTCATCATTAATGTCGTTGATAATATAATGGAATTTCACATAAATAAATAAAAAGTTTTTCCGTTGTAACGAGAAAAATGTAAATAAATTAATAAACAGGAAAACAGCAAATGAACAAACTAATTTGTCCCATGGAATTCGCGATGAGCTATATATGCATTTATATAATTACATTACCACCCACTTAATCCAACTAAACCTTGTATGTGCATACTTACGACGAAACGATACATATCAATAATAATAATAATAATAATGAAGGATAAAATTCAGTGCTCAAGATCATATATTGCAGATAAATGTTTTTCATTTTCCAAGTGGGCTAAATTAATTATAAACAGTTTAATCAACGATAACAGAAGTTATTGAGAGCATAAGTCGACCATACCATGGACAAAAATTACGATGAACGAGAGAATTGTTTCACTCCAGTATGAGACTACAAAAAGGTGATCTGAAGGTCATGGGTGCAACCCCTGATGGGATCGAATGACATCTATCATTGTAAAACTTAAATTACCCCCGTGTAATAAGACAAATCCAAAGTTTGAAGCACAGGAATTAAGCTCAGTGCTATTACATTCTCTGTAAAACTTGAAGGTTCGAGATTCGATAATGTGTGAAGTTATGAGTCTAAAACGATGATGAGTTTCAATAACATTTGATACAACCAATCTCTGTATTAACCCCATTCCGATGTATATAAAAAATCTGGGAAATTTTATCAAATGTCAAGTTTTTATAATTTAAAATGAAAAAATATTCTCCCCTAATTATTCTCAACTCATATCATTTCTGCCGAGCAAATAAATAATACATATATAAATGATCAGTATGGCATGAAGGATGAAAAAATCTCCACTAATGAGTTGGTAGTTAGATGTAAAACGTTTGGAAAAAAAACCATCGTGGCATCAATAAATACTTTAATCTCATATGATTTAGAAAGCGATCCAAATGTTTATTACCATTCATTTTAACATCCATTACCACTGACAAATTCATTCCACTTACAGTTCCAAGTTTAGATTCTGTATAATTTAAAACATATTTGCCTCAATTGTGACCATTCATTATGATTACTTATTTGAATTCATAAATAGAATCTAATTAGATTAGACAGCTTTTTTAATTTACAACATCAAATCTACTTCAGGAAGTTATAAGTTAGTATGTAGAGTAAAACACACATTATTTATCTATTTAGTGTACTATATATTCATTGAAAATCTGGAAATGATGTAATGTACAAGAATTATGGATTTAACTATTATAAATAAACCATTTCATTGATTTATGTCACACAATTTCAGACAAGCGCATGATTAAGAAAGCACTTAAATAAACTTTAAAAATTGATAGCATCATGTAATGTTGAACAATGCAACTCATACTAATGATGGTAATTTTGTACTTCGCTAATAGAATTAATTAATCTGTTACATATATAGGTCACATAAATCACTTTCGGAATAATATTGTTAATGTAGCTAATCAATATACACCAAATATTAAAACAAACCAGGTATTATATATATCATAAATCTCATTCCATATCATGATTGCGAAAATAACGTTTTATTTCTTAGCTTTTTATCAAAACTATTTGCCGACTCAATACTCCTGAAGTTAAGCGCTCGCTGTGTGATTTAAGGTACTGGGTTAGATCCCTGATAAGGTCGCGAATCCGTACTTATCAACCCTATACTAAGACAAAATAGCTGTTAAACGTTTCCTGGTTCTCGGTGATTGTCTAACTAAGACCAACCCTCTATGTAAATTACGACTAATTCAACACGTACAGATGTGCATAATCAGTTTTTGGTGGCACTCTTACTTGGTGTCACGACTAGTGCATCGACCAGGTGCCAAAACGGAAGTAGACGTAGATATAGGCTATGGTCACTAACCCAATCCAAGTGATTTCATCCCCAACCCACCTTAAATTAGATTACAAAATCAAAGAATGAAGACGGTATAGCTAGTTTCAATCTGAATGTACAGTCAATTGAAAGATTTATTCGAAATATATTTTAGAAAATATAGTTCAACAACTACTCACATATAATCAACTAAAATCTGTTTATCAGTCTCATTTTACGGATAAACTAATTCTTACTTTCAGCTGTGCTGATATTTACCATAAAAGGCACTTAGAGTGAACAATTATATAAGTACTTACTTTAAATTCCAAAGGAATTTTAGCTAAAAAATTCACAATTCTTTCGTCAAGATAAGGTAAACGCGGCATTCGTCCATGAGCGGAAATTATTCTATTAAAATAGAGAAATTGTCAATAAATAACATTATTGGTTTAGTAACATGAAATATAAGTCACTGAAATGAAAATTAAAGAGTTTCACTCCTAAATTGTGAATGACCAGTAAGGTTATAAAACTAAGCAGATGAAATCGACCTTTGACTTAGCGATTACTATGTGCAGAATGAACAAAGAGATCGTCAGTCCCAGGTAAACGAGAACTGTAGTTCTTACTGCAAAAATTTAAACTAATCAATTTATGCAAATAGTGGGCTGACAGTTAAATGATAAAAAGATAATCTGTGTTGCAGAAGTTTGACTACTACAACTTTCCGTACTTACTTTCAACAAGTGATTTCTTTCGTAGTATATATCCAAAACGTAATTCAGAAGGATTTAATCTGAAGAGATCTAGTTTTGAGTGTATTAAGCTTATTTCACATAAAATGCCGTTCAATTATAGCGAAATTATATATATATATATATATATATATATATATATATATATATATATATACCCTTCATTTACTAAGCTTACGTCGAGTGCACGTAGATGGGAAAGAATTAAAAATAGAAAAACGTGCATAATATATGGCTTGTTTACTATTTGCAATGATCGCTATTAGAATATTCTACATGTAGCAATACCGAAAGATATTTTCATCAAAGGAAACATTTCAGTTAAAAACAATTTACCACTTTATAATTCTTCGAAAACTGTCATCTTTATTCTACTAATCTTCAATAATATAATGTATAAGTAAAATAATTATGGGTATTGTTTCTAGGTTGAAAATGGCTGACCAGAGTCCATGAAATAAATGAATTCACTTTAATTTGCTACGCTTGCTGCTCTGGCTTTTGTCATAATTTAGCTGTTGTTTAACAGACATAAAGAAAAAATGCATGACTGGTATTAACAATTGTATATAGATTACAATCATTCATCAGCAAACCTACTTAATGTGTTAAATAATACTATGTTAAAGGATTGCTGAAGAGTTCTTTAAACCAGCTAACTTGATCTAATATGATTTTCTGACATGAAATGAAGAATATTATCTCAAATGATCATACATATAATCCCATACAAAATATACGTTTATTCACTTCGAAATTCAGGATGTAATAATAATTGTTCCATTCTATTTTAGATTATTTATTTTGCTACTATTTTTTAATGGAACTGAAATTAAGAGATTCAGGCTTTATAACAATTATAACCTATACATTTATGGTCTAGAAATTGTCATTCTCGGTTTACATCACGTCGCAAAAGTTTATTTATCCCATACTTCAGATAACTCGAAAAAAATCTAAACAAAAAAATCAAATGTACATCGACATATCAATCATAGGATAACGATAAATTTATCCTTACGAATTATTTATTATTAGTCTATACGATGTATATTTCACGATTGTTTTTCAATCAGACAACACATCATTGGTTATTTTAAAGTCAGTCAGTTAAACATAATCAACCATATGGTTCAGTAAATCTAAATTAACTTATCATAGAAATTAGTAGGGAAATAGAAATGAAAGAGAAGTGCTGTGAAAATCTAATGACCTGAAGATAATATTCGTTATTATCATTATTACTATCTGGCCAAATCAACAAACATGCAATGTGAAAGTTTATAATTCATCTTCTATTTAACATCATACAAAATTAATTATATTTGTATGGATTCAGTAATTTCTAATCGATTACGAATGTTCACTTCTACAAAATTGTTTGACCGTTTTTTGATTTATGAACAACAGTGAGTAAATAAAGTGCATTTAAAAAAACAAATAAGAATCTCGCAGGAGGCGAGGTCGTGGATGCGCACTGCTGAGGAGTCCCACAATAGGACGAAACGACCGTCCAGTGCTTCCAGGTTTTCCATGGTGGTCTAGCTTCAACTGACTCATGATCTTAACCATTGAAAATAAGAAATTAATTAGATTATGTGATTTTTCAATCTTCAGCACACATGAATATCATCACATGAACTATTTAGACAACTAAATAGCAAGCAACGACGATGAGTACCATTAAATTCGAAGCTGATTGTCTACAGTTTAAATATCCATCAACTTTTAATTATAATATGATCATTACATCTAATCTTATCGATGAATAACTATATCATTTATGATCTGACTGATTTTATAAGTTACAATCCATCGACAGAATTTTAGCTGAGTTTATCTCATCACAAGTCAACTATGATAAAGTTGCTTTGTTAAAAATGTTTTTATATATGGAAAATAATTTTCACCAAGAACCAACTTCAGATGTAAACATAATTAACACCAGAGAATAGAGGAGAAAATGTTGGTAGAAACTCCGTGTTTAAATCCAACATTTTATAACTAGACTCAAAATCTTATTGATAACAAATTTGACTGTTATACATAAATATTACATACATATATATATCAACTGTTTCGAGATCTATCAGTTGTTTAATTCAATTTCATTTCTGTTTCGGAACCAGTGGATTCCCCTTAAAATTATGATCGTGTTTTCGCGATAACTGTCTTAAAAACTTATATAGTTTGTAGATATTTTAATCATTTATAAAGAGGTTCATTGAAAGTATTTAATTAGAAGTAGTGTTGACTGATGAGAGAAAAATCAATCACAAATATTATAATTTCCTATTCGATTAGAAAAAAAATCGGTTTAAAGACACTATATACTGACCAACCTCTATCTAAACTGATAATATCAATTAATTACAACACAAGATATAACTGTAGACAAATAAATGTCACATCGTAGTAAGCACCTGCAGAAAATCTGAAACCTTTGCGTCATGAACTATCGATCGAAATTCTTGTTTGAACATCAAGGTACAATTTAACCATCTGACCACAGTTTTTGCACGACATCACATACTCATTGTTATCAATAATTTGTGAACCTAGAATATATTATGTTAAGTAAAAACACTATGAACCATGAACAAATAATTTAACATTTTAAATAAAATTGTGAGCTACTTAACATATTTGTAAAGCTCAGTCTTGACCATATTTATATTGACTTTCAGTTAGTGAAAAGTTAATAACTTATACGTTACACAGAGAAATACCAATATAATCAATTTTGTATTAAGTAAAATATAATCTCATCATATATGTACACAGAACGTACTATACATTTAATCAAATAGGTGTTGTCATTCTTTTTGAAATAGCGATTTGAAGTCTTTATTATTTTAAAATGTGAAGCATAAATTTGTCAAGTTAACTACCTTATATGTGTCACTGTTCCGTGTCATTTCAAAATTTAATGTTAATTAGACAGTTGGCCATCATCACAAAATGCATTTTTGGTAATGTTAAGACCATTGATTTACCGGTCCTCTGACTTCAAGGTGAACATACTGACACTTATTCAGTCATATCACAGTAGTAAAATTTGTGTTATTCTGATGGACTTCAAACGAACCATATTATTACCAACAAACGACAAATGTTAGTCTTGACTTTGGCAGCGGTATTCACGATGTAGTTGATAATACACAATACGATATACTGTACGATGAATGGGTAGTTCAGATATTACAAAATGTGCTTTAGGTGATCATGTTAACCATGACATATCCTACAACGAATTTTTTCATCTTTTAGTATTTATTTTGTATTCTGTTTCATATTATTATGCACACAATAGATGATCGTACACCACATTTTTTAGTCAATTTTCACTTAGAAGAAAATTACAGAATAATTTACCATAAATAAAGATGCATTTCTGTTTGTAATAGTGATATTTTCCAATTTATTTATTACACCCTTGAGATTGTTTGATGTTTATAATTTTGTCTGGTAATAATTTATTTGGTTATTTCTTCAACAGAAGTGGGAAAGAAATTAAACTTATTAGAAAAGAAAACTATTTCATGACTGTGTGAAGCCCGACCGTTGCTGCTACTTTGACGTTGTGATTGTGCTTGCCTATCGTGATAAACTAATCGGGCTATACTGACTGGAACAATCGTCCCTCAAGGTCCTACTATGCCAGGCAGGTCGAGTGAACGACGATAAGAGTAAAAGCAGCACACCCATAGTCCGAGAGTGAAGTCATACTACTGACAGTACAGAGGTGTGACAGCAATAAATTGTCTCAGAAACAGCATAAGAGCGATGCTGACTTCCCAAAAGGAAAGGTGAGGTTAGAAAAGGTCGACCTTAAAAATACATACCTCGCTTTATCCTACAGATTTCCGTCTCCGGAGATAAAGTCCCAATAAGTACGGAGCTAACACGAAAATTATTGTCTCTGAAACATGCAAACAGGATCCTGGTGTGATCATTCACTTGACCTCACCCCGCCAAAACAGGAAACTCTCCGTTTATCTGGCGACCCGACGACAAGTTCCCATGGACTGGCGGGTGTACTCATTGCACTAAATATGAAAGGAGAAGCACTTTTAGAATGGATCCTTGTTGATAGTCGCCTATGCGCCCTTCGGCTAAATGGCTGCGTAAGAACTCAGAAGTATAGGGACAATATCGTTGCCTTTTCGTCATTTCTGCCTACGCTACCACTGACTGTATCCCGGATGAAGTGAAAAATGAGTTTTTAGAGAAAGCTTTCTGAACTTCAGAAAGTTAAACACGCAGACATAGTACTTGTAGCAGAAGACTTTAATGCCCAAGTAGGTAGCTCAAATCAACCAGAAAGACATTTGAGTGGGTATTTTGGTATTCCTGTTCCGCTAACAAATAATTGTGATCGTCTGCTGCATAAAGAGAGACAGCGTCTAAAATGGAGGCGGACTGCACCAAACCAATGATGTTTCATTTTATTTATTTATTTAAACACATAAACATTGGTACAAGAAGACACCAAATAGATATGCGCCACATAAATCATTTGATTTGTGTGAGTGCTAGGATACTTCACAGGTGCCCAAACCGAAGCAGGTGGTTTTCTTAAAGAACCACACCCCGGACGTTCAACATAAAGGCCTAATCCACAAGGCAGAGGAGCAATGTAAGGAAATACAGTCTAATGGTAGCCAGTGACTAACAATAGGTTGATACGCTATTTGTTTCCTTAGGATCCTGAAGCCCATGTACAACATTGGTTTGGAATCAGGATTTCCCAAGCCCCCTAGGTAGATCATTCATAGCTGACGATGGACTCGAATAGACTATATTGCCATCAGTCATTGTGGAAGATGGTCAAAAGAAGACTGTCACTCGTTCTGGAATACATGTTTAGACTGTGATCATATGCAAGTACGAGCACTCATTTGTTTGCGCCTCAGTGGACGCAGTTCGTTCTGTTCTATTTTACGGATGCGGAACCATACAGAGTACAAGATACCAGTAAACTACTAGTATTTGATTACATATGTCTTAGAAATATTGCTCGCATCTGCTGGGATCACCGAGTACGTAATACTGGGGTTATACGCCGGGTATTATGGAATAATAGTGAATCAGTTGATGAGGTTGTAAATCTTCATAGACTGAGATGGTTGGGCTACGTGTTATGTATGCCCGAACACCGATTACCACCGCGCGTAGTGCTGACTAGTGTTGGGGATGGTTGAAAGAAAGTTAGGGACGGTCAAACCAAAACGTGACGTCAGTCCATGAAGTCACCAACTTCTAGTCTTAGCCATCTTGGTAGATGCAGACTATTTGATTAGGGTCCACGCGACTATCATAACCAATGGTTGGAGACTCTGGATGACATGGCTCAGAATCGGTCACACTGGCGTAGGTGTATACAATCTTCGTCTTCCCCTAAACTGTGAAATTAAAATTGCTTTATACGTTTCTTTCTACCAACTAATTCTTTCTTCCTGTGTTATATCCTTATATGAAATCTTTCTTTTATATATTACTACAATCGGAGTAACTACTTCTATGAATCTGGTGATCATCGTATCGTGCTAGTGAGTTGTGGCAACTTAGACCGATGTATATATGTGCCTGGTCCTACATTGTAGTTGACTGACTGTGTAACGAATCTTTTATGGTATGAATATTGCTGCTGTACAAAAAAAATGTTCAACAATTTTTATCCATTTGTACTCACATACATGTTGATCTGAATTTTTAGAGTGACAGAGAGAGAGGATACATGAGAAAAGCAGTCCTAATAACTTAAAGTGTTTCTCTCGATCAAAAACACGAAGTATTTGAAAGGAAGTGTAGAAATAAAGATAATAGATTTGTTACCGTTTTTCCTAACGTTACTGAAAAAATATCTTTTGAGATATGGGAAAATTCTATTTGTCTAGCAATTATCATAATTAGATATTCGTTTACCCCGAAAACATACGCATCAATATTTACCTACACCTAGTAAAGATACAGGAAAATATTTGATGTGTTATTTTCGTCAAAAAAATTTTTTAATACTCAAATAAAATGATTAATGTCAATGAAAAGCTTTAGATGTTGTTACGTAGTAGTAGCGGCAATAAAAATAGTAGTAGTGTAATGTTGATTACGTAAAGGCGAAGTAAGAGAATAAAATAGGACTTTGAACGAAGAAAGGGATATTTTTTCAATGTGTAGATTACAATAGAGTTGAGAACCAAAGTTCATTTACAGTGGTGATGAAAATTTCTTTAAACGTTGAGTATATATATACGAATGATGTCATAATTGTAGTAACTCTGAAGATGTAAACTAGGAAGAATTGAAAATAAAACTAGTCATGATGATTTACATTAATCATAAAAATGTACAAATACAGGTACATATGATAAGTCCAACTGGATACAAAAATTAATAAACTATATGACATCATTTATTTGATTTGCACTTTTCAATAATCCATAAATCGACAGAAAAGTGACTTGATGTTTATTTCATGGTTTTTGTTATTTATACAGCTGACTCACAGGATAAAGCCTTGGATATGATCAATAACTCTAACATATACAATGCGTCGCTAAACCGAGTACATAAATAAATGTGTACTGGGTAAATGAACATGAAGGAGTTTGAAAACGAATACACATTCAATGATACAAAAAGCAACTTACTTGTTTTTTTGGTTGTTCCATTAATGTAATAATTTAAATAAAACGAATTACCAAGATTATTTTGGTCTGTAGATGGTAATCATTACGGAGTGATCTCGGTTACGGTAATATTGACCTGAAAGTCCTAGTTTCAGTCTCTAAAGTGGCAAATAAGCTTTGCCCTTCTTAAAGGCTTATTGTGGAACACCAAGTCATAATTCAGTACAGTTTTGTCTAACCCACAATAAAAAAGTGATGACGTGTAGTTATACAAACTCATAATGGTAACAAATTTCGACAGAATTTCAAAGTGATTAGTGAAGTAGAACCACAAGTCCTTTTAATTCAGAAAATGTGGACTAATAGACGAGTAAATATTAACAAGGCTCACAGTACTAACACGACAAAAAGAGATACTCTCGTTTTGACACTTCATCTAATTAAGGAAGTGGACTAGTCAAAAATATTGAGAAAGAAATAGCTATTTGATCAGTCGTGCTTTTTGGTTGATTTCAATTCATGAAAAGAAATATCTAGATGAAGAATAAAAAGTTCCGTTCATTTATTTACCCAAAACTAGCCAGAAATGATTAGTCTATAAACAATTACATGTCGAAATTAATCAACCTCTTTAAAAAGACGTACTTATATATATGATCTTTCTGCAAAATCCATGATAAACTTTATATCGTTTTTAATACGTGTAATCTGGAAGGTCAGCACTACTGTTAAAAAACGTAGATAAAGCTTTAAGTTGAATAGTTTAGCAATAAGAATGTATTATTTTACAAATTGGCCTCTCTGAGTTGAGGACATTAGACGACTCTCTGTGTTCGATCATCGATGTCTCCGAAGGATTGCTGATATCCGGTGGCAACACCATGTAAGTAATGCAGAGGTTCGGCATCGTGTGTTCGGGCACAGAG